TCTTGACTCGATTTTTAGATATCAAGGATAGTCATCCGAACATCTCTGATTTGTAAACAACAAAAAAAACATCCCCCTTACCATAATGCTACGACTTGGCTAACATACGGCAATGCAGTTGGATAATAGCGTGGTGCCAACAAAACGTCCAAGCCGGCTCTGATTCTACCGCCACCACGCTGACGGCCGTGATATATTATCTCTTGAAGAATCCCAATTCCATGGAGACTCTACTGGCCGAGATCGACAACGCCAACCTCCCCTCCCCAGTGCCCTGGGATATGGCGAACAAACTCCCCTATCTTGATGCGTGCATCAAGGAAGCCTTGCGGATGACCCCGGCAGTAGGAATCCCTCTCGAGCGGGTTGCTCCGGCGGGAGGTATAGAGCTCTGCGGGAAATACTTCCAATCGGGAACCGTCCTTGGGGTCAATGCTTGGGTGGTGCATATGGATCAGGAGGTGTATGGGGCAGACGCCGCTCACTGGAGACCAGGACGGTGGGTGGAAGCAAATGAAGATCAGAGGAGACAGATGGAGCGGACACTTTTTGCGGTTAGTTCTTCGGCGGTCCATCCTCTATAGGGTCGAGAGATGATACTGATCTCAGCGTCATTAGTTTGGAGGTGGATCGCGAGTCTGTCTGGGAAGAAACATCTCTTATTTGGAGATGTACAAGGTCATTCCAGAGTTACTCACCCGTTTCCAGGTATGTCCCTTGTTCTAATCCAGCTGTCTCATCCCTCAACCAGGCACTAAAAGCGATGGTTGCCAGTTCCATCTCACACACCCCGAGAAGGAGTGGTCGTTGGACAATAGGTTCTTTGTCTACGCCAAAGGGGTCGAAGTCAACATCAAAAAAAGGGAAAGAGCCTGACAGCATCACTCGTACTGTTTTCCTGGAGCATGTAGCAGTTTGGGATTTCTTTCTGGGCTCTGGTCATACATAAGAGATAGGTATATTCCAACAAAATGCCACTTCCTTTCTATCCACCGTCCATTAGTTTACCCGATTTCAAACTCAATAGCCCCCCATCCCTCATATGTACAAGACCAATGGCCGGTTTTTCCCATCGGGACCGCCTCCAAGCAACTTGAACCTCTTAAGTTCACGTGGCATCTTGCAGGAACACGGCAGCTTCTTGGGCAAATTTTGCACTGAGCAGGCTCGATAACCCGATAGCCCCTGCTCTGTCTCCCATGACAATCTTTATAATCACCTATGTGAGTACACTGGCACATGGCGTCTCCCGGCCGATGGGCTTCACGATGTCTTGCAGATTAAGCAAGCTATTCGCCGCCTTTACCCTTCTGCCTACGAGGCGGATGAAGATCGCACACTAATGATTCTGTACCTATATTTAGGGGCTAGTGAAGGTGGTGGGCGACTGGCCATACTAAGCCTGTTCTGTTCGGGACCAACAGACTACAGTTCCCTTGTCCAAGGCCAGCCCCTCTTTTGCTCCAGACTGAAATCACATAAACCGGTCTTTTTCTCTTTTTTATATCCCCCCCAGCTGCTCAAGGAAATACAATTATGTTGGGATACACGACTCTCTACTCCAGAACCCCCCGCTCTTTCCTCTTCGCCGTCGTCGCCAATGTCGGTCCCGGCGGCGCCAGTCGCACCCTGGCCGTGGCCTACCGCCAGCACCACGACGAATATAACTCACAGACATCATGGGGACGAGTGCACCATATGGTAATCGATACTCTCGCCCTGATCGAAATTCTCTCGGATCCCGCGAACCGCGCGCCGCTGGAGGCGGAGAGGGCGCTCGCGGAGGATTGGTATCGTCGGTCTCAGGGCAACGAGCCTCTAATTCATGAACGGCCCAGCGTGCCCGACACCGCGCAGCCCCCGTTCGTGTCCGCGTACAAGCGGCGGGAGCCAGGACAACAACAACCCCCGCTGCCGTGGCGAGATGATGCGCCCAGCAAGTTTCCCTTCATCGCCACGTGTGTTTTACTGGCGTTGTTGCGCGATGGTGATGCCACGGGTTGCATTCGCACCCGCCCCGGCGACGTCCAGTTTCAGCCGCTATCGACGCTGTTCCGCGCGGACTGCACTGAGTATGGCCTAGTTATTCTCGATATCTCCGACTTTAACAGTGGTGTTAAGTATGGCATTACTGCGTTCCCGATGCGCTATATGGCTGAGGTCGAATATCATAGCGAGATGACGGGCTGGGATCCCATCGAATGCCCCTCACCGGAAAAGAAACCAGATATTATCCTCGTGAGCCCGCGGTCTCGAGAGCTATTGTCAATTTCTCAATGGGTATCGAAGCACTACTACTGGTCGGGCTTAGAAGAGGCGCCTTGTATCCTCAAACTAGATGAGAGACCGCTAGTTAATACAGCAGCCTTGGATTGTACGTCTATTCACGTCAGTGGGATACGGATGATTCTACAGGTGCTGACGGGAAAATCATAGATATCTGGCCACCGGAGCTGGAAGAGCGGACCCAAGCATCTTCAAAAAGTGTTTTTTCACGCATTTCAAAATGTTAGTGGACGACTCTGTTCTACTTGAATCTATATTGACCGCGTTTACTAATAGATATAATAGATTTCAGGCCTTCGAAGAACGCCAGACCGGCCCCCCGATCCCCGTCTTATATGGCAGGCTACACCATAGTAGACGAACCGCCGCGAGACGTGCCCATGGATCATGTAAAAGATGGTGGATCGACCACAAGAGCCTCGAGCGTGACCTTATTAAACGAGCCGCCACAAACTGTCCTAGTAGACATAGACAGTACTATTAATAATCTACTAACCTTTACACAGAAGCCCGCTTCCCCTCTCCGCGAGAAACAAGCACTCACCCACCTTCAAATTCTAGACCAGTTCCCCGAGAAGCTGCGACAGCGACTCGAAGAGGTGCCGGACAGGCTTGGCCCCTCCAAGATCTCCAGCCATGTTCTGCGCGTGGCATACACTGGACAAAATCACCTCAACTGGGTGGCGTTTGGGAGCCTGCCACCTGGTGTGATTGCAGCCGCCGTTGCATCAGATGAGCTTCGGTGTGCGTTTGCACTCAGCCTCTGCGTCAATGCGCTCCAACTGGCGGGAGATGGGGAAGAGAGAGAGTCAGATCTCATTGATCTCGCAGTGGCCCTGGCGCAGTCCACGGGCCTCCAACAGCTCTGCTTCTTGCAGCAACCGGACCGGAATCACGACGATGTCTCGGCTCGTTTCTGCTCGCAGCTGCTGTGGCTGTGGGAGAGGGTATCAGGTGAAGACTTGAAGTCGCTCCGGCTGAGAACTATTCATTCGACCTCCGCTTTATCAACCGGTTTATGCGGCCGCGAATTTCGAGCATTATCCGCAATAATAAATTTAGATTCTAGCTTTATCTCAGGCACTCAAGTCTTTCCCATAATTCACCTGTTCACATTTGTCAGCCCCCAGCGCGAAAATATTCAGAATACAGCTGCGGACTACCACATCCACCCTACTCGTCCTGGGTACAGCAACTACTATTGTATGAATTATACTGGGTTAAGCGCCGAGAGCTTCGCTGTCCGATTCCTGGGATACCTCCGATCCTTAGGCCCGGATTCGGATCCCGACAAGGCTATCTTACGAGTTGCATATCATGGGGCTTTCTCGTCGCTCGCTTCCGTCGACGACGACAACGATAACGACGACAACCCCCCGTCGCCGCCCCGGGGACCGCCGCCGCGGCCACCGCCGCTCCAGTCATGGCCAGATCAATTGGGTGTGAGGCCCATCCCCGCTGGATTTTTCGACGACGAGCTAGCCCCCGACGACCCGTCCCGAGTCCGACTCGGGGAGATCCCCCCCGGGAGCTGGGTGATTCTTATGGATCAACGAGACCGCCGTGACCGATTCAGCGACGACGACGCCTTCTTACAATACTCTTTCATCAGAATCCGTCGACCCTCTCCAGAGACTGCCCCGAAGCAACAACAACAGCAAAAACCGGCCCCCGTCTTTAGCTCAGTCGATGTGGTCGGCGGGCTGACCGACTTCCTGCGCGAAACCGTGCCAGAGACTAATATTGCCACGTGGGAGAAACGGCTCGAGGAGGTAGAGAGGGACTTGGTTTCAGCGTTAACCAGATCGAGCCCACCCAGCACCCCGTCATCGATGAGATCCTCCACGGATGAGACAACGATGGACAAGATATTGAGGCGTTTGAATTCAGCTTCAACTGAGAACACCCCGCCAGAGACTGATATTTCCACTGGGGAGGGACCGGTCGTGGAGGTAGAGAGCGAACACTGTATCGGCGTCCGCGTCATGGCTGAGAGCCGGGTCCACACTTTACTGAACCGGTTACTGTGATTTTGCGACTAACCATTACCCCCCTATCTCTAGGCTATTGGTCCCTCAAGAACCCGTCACAACTACCCTCTCAAGCTTATCGCTTAAGCCTAGCCCCGAAAGGTTACTCGTTTAAAGGGCTAGAGACCTTCTCCCTAAAGAATCCTCCTTGAAAGTTAAGACCACTCGCTGAACTAAATAGATGAGATGATTAATCCTGATCATCTCTCAGATAGCTAGCTATGTAGCTATACCAGAAGGATGCCGCCGTGGCAATCGAAACCGACTTTGTCGTCCGGCAGCTTCTCTCGCACCAGCTTGAGAAAGTCGAGGTAATTCTCGCCATCGTTCTCTTGGCCAGGCTCCGATCCCTCGATGTCTGTCGCGCCCGGATACCCCCAGTCAAAATTCAGTCCTTAAGGTATAGCACAGTATTTGACTAGGTGAAAAGGTATGGTTTCATGGTTTCTAGAGCCCTAGTAATTCAATGTTACTAGGATAATTGACTACCTACTTTACATATGGTTGTTGACAATGCTCGGGAGATGTGTATCTGCTACCTACTTATTAACGCATCAGTAAGATAAACAAGTTACTTTAAGTAAATTCTCTGTCCTTTGTACCTGATATAGAGGCTTTCAATTCTGATTGTCATATTCCCTTTTAGTCCATGGTTAAGAAAAACGGGCTGACAAATATATCAATGGCAAGGTGGCCGAGTGGTTATGGCGCTGGTTTTAGGTCTCTATAGAGTAAGACACCAGTGGGAAACTTCGCGGGTTCGAATCCCGTCCTTGTCATGTTTTTTGGTCTTTTTAGACCCATCGTCAGCACCCAGCCTAAGAGACATTCCGCAACCGTTTCAGATTTTTCTCTGGATCAAGGACTCATTGACGGATTACTGTGTTGAGTACGGCGGAGCGGACGGGAAGCCCTATTTTCCACACCCTGTGGTCTCCTGTGATTATTTTCGTCGAGTCAGGATTGATATAGGATACGAGCAAATCTAAGCAACAGGGGAAGTACCCCTTAGATCGGGATATGCAAGGAATCTCGTCATGCCAGAACAATCAATATTCTATATCTCATGCACACTCACTCTTGAGTCTATATAATCACCTCTTTGGTATCTAAATACTATTATATGCTATTCTATATGCAAACATCCTCCACATGTCTCTCCTCCGTACCACCACCCCGGGGACTTCCAAGACTAGACCTCCTCCACAGCGCTCTTTTTAGTGGTATCCTTCATCATCTCGTTCATAAAAGGACTGCGAGCACGGACTTCTCTTCCCCAGATAAACATCAACGTAGGGATTAGCGACAGTATCAATGAAACGAAAGCAAGTAAGGTGCTTGCCCATTGGAGCCCGAGACGCCCGTACATGCTCATCGTCGCCAGGGGCAAGAATGCAGAAAAGAGGTTCTCGCCGGTGGCAACGGCTCCCATCGCACTGCCAGAATATTGACTGTACGCGTCGACAACATAGTCTGATACCCCATTCACAACCAGCACACTTCCAGCTCCAACCATGCCGAGACTGATTGCCGGCGCGATCCACGGGAAATCCGGATACGAGGTCCACGCGTAGGTGAACATGCCCCCAGAGATGCCAAACACTCCCCCTAAAATAGCCATGTAGAGCCGCGCCTCGGGAATTGGCGTTCCAGGGGTTTCCTTGTTGCGTGACGCCGACGCAAAGTAAAGGTGGCGAGATATAAAATTCAATGACCATCCCACACATTCTCCGATGACAATCGAGCATTGAACAAACCCTGTCTGCGAGACATTCCAGCCGTACAGCTCCATAAACACCTGCTCGACAGACTGGGTGAACAGGAACAGCGTGCCCACCGTGAAGGCCGACCACAAGGTAGACACAAACAGAACCGGCTCGGTAAAGACCAGGATCACTGGTCTTTTCGCGCTGTCTATGAGGCCCCTGTAGTTCAGTTTCAATGACTTGGCCTCCGGTCCGCGCTTCGTTCGGGCACGCTGGGCCAGAATTGCACTGCCGCGTGATTCATAGAAGAAGAAGTAGAAGACCGGAAACAGCGCTCCAAACCAGATGAGCTGCATGTAGCTGATCCATCTCCATCCCAGAGACTGAAAGATGGCGGCCCCCATCACTGGTCCAATGCTGCTTCCCGCCATGTACCCGAGGATAAACAGGCTGACGGGGACCGATCGATCCCATTCAGTCTCCCACAGGTTGCCAATCACCCCGGCGACCGTATTGGCCAGGATGGCAACACAACCACCCGAGAAGAACCGAGTGACTACCAGGGTGGCAAAGTTTTGGGCGACAGCTTGGGGGATGAGGAAGCACATGAAGATAAGATATGTGGAGAGAAAGACCGGTCGGGTTCCAAAATCCTCTGCGAGGGGAAGAATAAACAGGGCAGAGCAGGCTCCTCCAGTCGCCCATGTCGTCACCGGCCAGTAGGAATTTGGAAACGCGGTCTCCGAGATGCTGAAGAGTTCCGAGATCTCAAAGTGCGCAACGGTGATGATTGTCCCATTCATCATGGCGAGAAACGTGGTGAAAGCGGCGAGGCATGTTAGCGCCCATTTCCGTGATGCTGGCCAGTTGAAGGGATTTTCAGGGTCCTGATGACTGTCCCAAGACGGCGTGGTGGTGTCACTGGCGTTGGAATCCCATGGGTCTTGGGATAGTAGCTCCGCCGGAGCTGGATTCTCTCGGTGTTTGTCGTCGTAGGCGATCATCTCCAAGCAGGAAATGCTTCGGAAAGAATTGAAAGATTGAGGTTATGTGGCGAAGATCCAGATCTGAACTTAGATTGAATCAATTGAATGTCCCATGTAGGTCCTCCTTGGCCTATATATCCATCCGTCAAGCTTTTCTTCCAAGGTGGAAGCCTCCATATCTCCACCTATTGCCCACTTTGGGAGAAGGGGTGGATACATGTCGCTAAGAGGGTGTGGAACATGGTCCCTTTGATTGAAGCTATAACTAATATGAGTCCCTGATGGATCTCGGCGACAAGAAATGCCCCAGAGTGGAGACTGGCAAAAGCAGCCGCCGCAAAGCTTCTCCCGATTAGGACCACAAACCCGACCCATTGAATGGGCCATGCCAAGAACTACCACGGAGGAAAGCGAACTGTCGGTTTATTTATCGGGTAACGGAATGATCAACCGAGCGGAAGTAGGGAATCATGTAGGCAAAAAACAAATCCAAAGGTTGATTGTTCCCGGGGTCGAACCCATGTTGTTTTCTGGGATTTTACCAGTAGGTCATCAAGGGGAGATAAAGAAGCCGCGGCCAAAAGCTAGAAATGATAATCTCTGAAGGGGTACGGGATGTGGGGCGGTAGAAAACTAGGGCGGAGAGGAGACTCGACCAATCACATCGGCCAGAATGCACCAACCCCGTCTCGATGTGGTGATATATATTTGGCTATGGGTTCATCTAGTTATAATGTAATTCCAATGACCCAACCAACACCACCGAGGGAACCCCCAAGACAGCGACTTTTTAGAAAATGGCAAGAATCGAGTTCTCCTTGCAGCAAAAGATTTTGGTCCCAACCAGGCATAGAAGACTGGCCCCGTAGCTGACGGCAGTAAAAGCGATCAAGCCCCAATACTCCCCGTCGCACTGCGTCAGAATTGCGCCTGCTATCGGAATTGCAGTAAGACAGCTGCTGGCGTGATCAGCATTGACTGGTCGCAAATGGAGAGCCAGAGGGAGGAAAGACTAACCTGATACTGACCACGGCATAAGCAGTCGCATAATACCGACCATACGCCTCAAGCCTGCACAGCTGACCGACACACACCGGTGCGAGGCTTACATTGCTGCCACTAGCAAATCCAAACAGGAGTGCGAACGCGAGCATCATTTCGTGACTAGCACCTGCAGTGACCCATAAGCAACTCACCACCAGAAGACATGCAAAAATGGTAATAATCAAGGTGTTAAACCGGCCGATGCGATCTGCGCAGTAGCCTGGAATCAACCGACCGAAAATGGAGGCCAGATTGACGAGGGAGAGTAGTAAATAGGCAAACCCGGATGAAGTGCCATGGGCTAAGGCATAGGACGTCAAGTACGTGATGGGGCCGAACAGTCCCCATTCCATAAAGAAGATGCCCATACTCGCCAGCATCAGCCGTGTGTCCCGAAATGCCGAAAGATCGAAAAGAACTGCTCTGATGGCGGCACGATTCTTCGATGGGGTCCTCGGTCGAACCAGAATGATCCCGAATATAAAAGCGACCATGGTCAGGAGGGAGATTGCGCGAGTGGCCCATACAAACCCAACTTTGGAGGCCACGCCTTGGAAAAGCAGGGGGAAGATGACGCCCCCAAAGGACGCCCCCGACGATGCGACTCCTGTTGCAAAACCGCGGTTTTTGTTAAAGTAGTGCGCTACGATAGAGATGGCAGGATTGAACCCCAACGATACACTCGTTCCTGCAAGGGGACCAAACACAAGCATGAAATGCCAATATTCTCGGCACAGCCCCAGAAGCAGCAGGAATAAGACCGTGCCGATGCTGCCACAGATGACCAGCACCCGAGGACCTTTGGCATCGAAGATAGGCCCCACTTGGATGCCACAGAAGAACGCCAGGAACGTGTAGAGTCCAAAGATCCAAGCGACTTGGCCGGCAGAGTAGTCGTGCAACTGGTTCTCTTGCATATAGGCCTGAAAGATTCCAACACTGTTCAGGATTCCCATGGTACCGAAACAAATCATCCAACTTCCTAGCACAACACTCCACGCGGCCCAGCCTCCCTCGGGATAACTGATGGCATCGTTGCTCTCATGGGCGTCACCGGTGGCTGTGGCAGATGACTCTGATGGGTCATTCGAAGCTATGGCGTTGGGGGATGCCTTTTCTTTGGTGGTCGTTTCGTGGTTCATTGTTGTCATTAACCGTCCCGTCCGATCCGAAAACACGATTTATCCAAGAGAATTAATGGGGGATCGCTAGTGGAAAGACCTGGGACTCTTTACATGCATGCACCTCGTAAAGCGAGACCGGGTTTATTGGTCGGACAGTCCGATCTCCACCGGAATTTCAAGATATTCGCTCGTTATTACCCGATAAAGAATTCCCCACAACTCACAGTCTCATATGGCTTCTGGCACCTCATTTGCGTCTGCAATAAACCCTGGAAGAGGAAGATACTCGCAGTGGTCGCATAAATCCCCGAGAGGTTGCTTGAGTTACCATAGTCCTTCGTGGGGGCTCCGGTGAGAAACATAAAATCCTGTCAGTAAAGTGGATGAGATGACGGCCAGCCTCTTGCGGCCAATTCGGTCATATCGGCGTTTTGAAGGCAACCATTGTCTCCCAAGCGGGGGCGCCTCCGAAAAAGGTTGGGTTTCTCGAGATTCTGCGGTGGTGGGCGCTGGCAGGCTACAATGCGGAGTCCATGATGGACCAAACATTGAAATGGAAATCGAAAGGAGGCCAGACTCGACTGGTAATGCAGATATTTCGAGAGGCAGAATCCTCCGGCCTCCTGGCCTACAGCCTTTTCACTCCTGTTGCTGCAGTCGATCAAACACATCAACAGGTCACGATAACAACAAATTCAGGAGCGAAATTTACCGGGCTATCCAATGCTCTTGTCCGTGACATTTGGTGATGGGTTGACACCCCGTGGAAATTCTCATCTTGTATCGTTCGCTGCGAACGGTTCCTTTCAAGGGGATAACCATGGGTTTCAAATGATGAGAGCCGCTTTTGGCGCTCTAAAGCCTTTCCAATTCAAGCGTTTACCAAACTTGGATCATATATGGATATAAAAAAGGGTGG